AGCCAGGGGACCGGGCTGGATCCCAGCAAGGGGCTAGAACAGATGGAGGCGAGGGAGACCGGGACGGGGGAGGAAAGAACAGCCAGACGGTCCAGGGGGAGGGAGGTGGAAGAGACGAGAGAGAACACAGCCGCCCCTCCCCAGCCTAGAACTTAAGGAGATGGGGGGGCAGTTAAGGAACTGAGGGGTGGAGATAAGGGGGGGAGTGGAAAAAACCGGGGCGGGGAAGGAATGAGACTCTGAGAGAGGGAGCCAGAGAGAGGGGGCATTGAAGCCCCTGGAATGAACGGCGCAGAACAGCAGGGACCCCCCTCCACACACACACATCAGAAACCGTCAGCCAATGGGATTAGACTTTGACCCAGGTTGATATCAGATGATATTTGACCCTGAAACTCGGGCTGTGATGGCAGCCCCTGAAATGTGATATTCATGGTTAATGTTAGCAGATGTCCGGTCTCTCGCCAAGGCCTCCTAAACACTGCCCCTCGGTACATCCCGCGTCCACCACGCGGGAGTGAGAGGAGAAATGCGGGGCGCTCACGGAGGGGACGGCGCAGTAACTAAGAGGATGAGGGATGGAGATGGGGCAGACAGGAGAGAGCCCGGATGCTGCGACCCCAGGCCGGGGGCTCACGTGGGGAGAAGTTGCTCCCTCATCTCTCTCCCGCAGCCCCTGTTCCTGGCGGCAGGGAATTCACCTGTTCTGCAGGAAACCCGGGAGCGTCTGTGGCAGCCTGGAAGGGAGGCTGGCCTGGGTTCAGACACCGTGCTTGTCCTCAGCCGCTGAGCCTCCCCGTCCCGCCCCAGCCTCAGTTTCCCCTGCTTTGTCTGGAGCACGCCTAGGGATGCTGGGCTGCCTCCAGTACTGGGCATCCCTCCCGCTCCCAGCATCAAAGGCCTCCGATGCAAACTCCCTGCCCGCCGTCCTGGCCGGAGCCCCCTGGGGCCCAGGTGAGACGGAGACAGAGAAGCCCAGATGAGAAACAGAGGAGCAGAGGCCGCGGGAGGGGCCTCCGCCGCCCCCAGCCCCCTCCGCCAGCGCTCGGCACGTCTCTCTCTCCCTCTCCTGACTTCACACTGATGTATTTTGAGAAACTCGTGAAAGGAGGTGAGAAAAAGGGTGGGGAGGGGCTGGGAATCGGGGAAAAGGAGGGGTGAGGTTATCTCAGCTCCCTCTCCGCCGCCCCCCACCCCACCCGGCCACCACTGCACCATCCTCCTGCTCACCTCCCCCCAAGTCTTATTCCTGCCTCTCAGGTTACTAGAGGGTGGGGCAACTTCAGCCTGGAACTGACTGCAGCAAGCAGGACTCAAGCAAGACCTAGACAGGGACTGGAAGGGCCTGGTGAGCTGAACTCAGGGTCAGCCAAAGGCAGGCTCAGGACAGGGTCCGGGGGCCTGCAAGCAGGGTCCTGGTGCCCAGGCGGCCATCTCCTCCCGCACTGTGGCCAGGTATTTTTAGGCTTTTCCGCAGCTGAGTAATTTCTCTGACTTGGAGCCAAGGATGGGATTGGGGGTGAGAGACTGAGAGGAGGTGTCCAACTTCCCCGAGGGACAGCCGGGTCACTGGGGTCACCACAAGAGCCCAATTGTGGGGTCTGCAGCTCCCTTTCTCCCCTCCCAGGGGCCCAGAATACCCTGGCTTCCTCCTCCCAGCTTAACCCCCACCAAGGACAAGGACCCACGGGCCCCAATCCGCTTTTAGCTGCAGATTAAACTCTCAGAGAGAGGGAGACCGAGAAAGATGCTGAGGGGTGGAGAGACCAGGGTGGGGGGATCAAAACCCAGAGACAGGGGCAGAGACCCAGAGGTCCAGGAAGAGGAGGGGCCCCAAGAGACAGAGACAGAGATGCAGGGTCAAGGAGGGATTGGATGAGAGCAACGGCCAGAGAGTCAGAGAGGGGACAGAGGTGTAAAGAGAAGGTGTGACAGAGACCAAGAGAGGGGACAGAGACCCAGAGAGAGGAGACAGAGACCCAGAGAGAGAGGGGACAGAGACCCAGAGAGAGAGAGGACAGAGACCCAGAGAGAGGAGACAGAGACCCAGAGAGAGGGGACAGAGACCCAGAGAGAGGGGGACAGAGACCCAGAGAGAGAGGACAGAGACCTAGAGAGGGGACAGAGGTGTAAAGAGAAGGTGTGACAGAGATCCAGAGAGGGGACAGAGACCCAGAGAGAGAGAGAGAGAGGACAGAGACCCAGAGAGGGGACAGAGACCCAGAGAGAGAGAGGACAGAGACCCAGAGAGGGGACAGAGACCCAGAGAGAGAGAGGACAGAGACCCAGAGAGAGGGGACAGAGACCCAGAGAGAGAGAGAGAGAGAGGACAGAGACCCAGAGAGAGAGGGGACAGAGACCCAGAGAGAGAAGGGACAGAGACCCAGAGAGAGGGGACAGAGACCCAGAGAGGGGACAGAGACCCAGAGAGAGAGGAGACAGAGACCCAGAGAGAGGGGACAGAGACCCAGAGAGAGGACAGAGACCCAGAGAGAGGACAGAGACCCAGAGAGAGAGTGGGACCGAGACCGGGAGAGGGGTGGAGACAGACACCCAGAGAGAGGGAGATCCATCGTGGAGTGGGGGTGGGTGCAGAAAAATGACCGAGATAGCGAACAAGATCCCACCATGGGGAGCGGCGCCCTTGGAGACAGGGAGAACCCGCACCGGTGCGCGGGCGCCTCGTGCGGGGTACCCCTGTCCCCCTGCGCCCCGGTGGAGCGGAACCCGCACTCCTCTCCCCAGACCCCGCCGCGCTCACCGGTGCAGTTTCCCGAGGGCGCGCCCGGCCAGCTTCCGAAACTCCTCCTGGCGGAACTCCATGGTGGCTGCCCCTGCCTCCGATCCCCCCGCCCGCGGGCCCGGGCGGCCGCGTCCGGGTTCCCGGGGTCCGCCCCGGCCCGGCCGGCCCCGCAGCTCCGCTCGGGGGGGAAGGAGGCTGCGAGTGCGGGCGGCCCGGGGGCTGTCGCAGGACTGGGCGCCGCGGGCGGGGCGGGGCGGGGCGGCCGCGCCGGGCCCCGCCCCCTCGCAGCCCTCGGATGCGGGTCCAGTCTCCGCCTGTGCAGCCCAGGACCACGCTTCTGGGCTCTGAGCTGCGAGCAGCCCCGCCCCGCAGTGCCGTCCCCTCCCCCAGGGACCCCCGCTCCATCCTCGCTCTCTCGGGTCTGGATCCCCCTCCTCTCCTTCCTGCACGCTCCTGCGTTAGGGTGCCATCTTCCTCTGGGTGTCCCCCCACCGCGCCCCGTCCTCCCAGCCCCGTCTCGCCCCTGACCCCTGCTCCCCGCCCTTGCGATGCCTGCCCCGGCCCGGGTCACCCTCATCCAGCTCGCGCGCGCTCCCTCGGGTCTTCCCGGTCACGCCTTGCGCCCCAACCCCTCCTTCCCCTCCAGTGGCTCCCCCACCACTGTCTTCACCCTTCTGCCCCCCCCCGCCCCCGTGCATGCCCGTCGCCTTTCCTCCTGACCCCTGCCCAGTTCCCCGGGGCCTGTCCGAGCTCTGAACTCCGTCCCATCCCCTGCGGTGTGTCCCCGCGCACTGCCGGGTAGAACCCTGGTTCCCCGCCCCTCTCCCGAGTGCTCTCTCGTGGTCGCTCCCTCCCCTCCACCCAGCGCTTCGGGCCGCAGATGCATTTGGGATTAAATTTTCATGAGGGTCCCACGAGCGGGCGGGAGGCGCAGACGGCTCGGCGGGCGGGCGCCGGGAGGCCTCTGACCGCGGCGGCTCCTCCGGGACTCGCTATCTGGTCTATGTGTGGGACGCCCCCGGCCCCCGAGGAGGCGCCGGCCTCGCGCCTGGACCCCCGGCCCGGCCCGAGAGGGACGAGCGCACGCCCGCCGGGTCGGAAGTCGGAGCCGTCCGCACGCGCCCCCCGGTGGCCGCAGCATCCCTGGCCGGCTGCGGAGGCGGCCGCGGCGGCGCGGGGCCAGGTGTGAGGGTGGAGCAGATGGCGAGGAGGAGGGAGTGGGAAGGGGGCCCCGCCGCTGCCAAATCCCGGGCCTTCGCCGGAACCATCACCATGGAGACCGAGGAACGAGGAGAGGACCCAGCCCACACTGTCTCTGGACCTGGGACCTTGTGCGCGGCACGCGCCGCAGCGGCGAGGGGAGCTGCGGCGCTGCGCCCCCTGGCGGGCACGGCACCCACGCTCGCTCGCCCGCCAGGCCCAGGCCGGACGCCTCCCGTCCACACCGACTCTGCCCAGCTCACTCCCTCACTGCCCCACGTCCGGATTCGACCTCAGCCAGGAGAAATCAAAGTACGAAGGCTGGCTGGGGACCGGCCACGCAGGCATCCCATGTGGCCGCTGGTTCGAGTCCCGGCTGCTCCTCTTCCGATCCAGCTCCCTGCTGACGTGCCTGGGAAGTCAGCCCAAGTCCCTGGGGCCCTGCACCCACACGGGAGATCAGAAGGAGCTCTGGCTCCCACTGGCCACTGTGGCCATCTGGGGAGCTAACCAGCAGATGGAAGATTCTCTCTCTCTCCCCTTCTCTCTGCAACTCTGCCTTTCAAATACATCTTTAAGTACAGAGTTGGGGAAGCTTTCCAGGGACAGTTCCTTACAAGGGAAGCGGCGGGAGCAATACTCCCAAGGCAGGGCGCGCACTGGGGCCCCAGAGGGGCTGGGTGTGGCGGTGAGGACAAGGTTCCAGTGTGGGAAGCCAGCCAGGGACTGGCAAGGGTGGCTCAAGGACAGCCCAGAGGCGCCCAGGGTGGGCGTGCAGGGAGGGCAGGCACCAGGGGTGATGGAGGGCGTGGTCCGCAGGCGGCTCCGTGTCACCCGGCCCCAGTGAGAGCTCAAAGTGGCCGGGGCCCGGCTGAGGGGTGTGCACCTGCTCCCGATCCACGGTCGGACGGTGAACAGCACAGGGTCAGCTCCAGGGCCCTGGGGAGGACTAACCAGGGAGACTGGGGCCAGGCCTGGGCGGGGGCAGTGCCCTCCGGTAGACCCTAGCCCAGCGTCCCTCTGCCTCTGACACCCCACGCACTCCCAGCCACAGACAGCAGAGTCAAAGACCTTTTATTTCAACGTCAGGAGAGCCACCGGTCTTTCCACACGCCCTCGGGTCAGGAGGGCACGGACAGCAGGGGCATGGACACCAGCAGTTGCTGGGGAGAGAGGGCAGAGTGAGGATTGGGCCCCGGAGGGGCCGCCCAGCCCCCCGCCCTCGTCCCAGCCCCCGACCCCACCTTCCTCTTGCGGTGGAAGGCCGCCCGGCTCTCAGCGGTGCTGATCCGCAGGGGGATGGCGGCATCCAGGTGGTACAGCTGCTGGGGGCCCCCCAGCACCAGGCGGCTCTCCCCAATCTCCAGCGACAGCTCCCGCGCTCCGTCCTGGGGACGCAGTGCCCTCAGTCCCCACCCACATCCTGAGGACAGCAGCGCGGGCAGCTGACCGCCTCGCATGTTGGAAACTGCATTTACAGGGCCCCCTGGGGGCCGGTGCTGTGGCACAGCAGGTAGACCCCCCGCCTGGGACGCCAGCATCCCGTGTGGGCGCCGGTTCGAGTCCCGGCTGCTCCACTTCCAATCCAGCTCCCTGCTAACGCACCTGGGAAAAGCAGTGGAAGACGGCCCACGTGCTTGGGCCCCTGCCCCCACGCGGGAGACCCGGATGGAGCTCCAGCCCCTGGCTTCAGCCTGGCCCAGCCCCAGTCACCATGGCCATTTAGGGAGTGAACCAGCAGACACAAAAGCGCTCTCTCTCTCTCTCTCTCCAGCAGTTACAAGAGCTCTCGCTCTCTGACTTTCATATAAACACAAATTCTCACAAAGGGGAGGGGCTCCCCTGCCCAGGGTCCAGGCCGAGGACACTGCTTACGCGCCTCAGCGACCGGGCCCTCATCCCCGCCCCGCCTGTCCACCCTCATCGCCCTGCTCCGCCCAGCGCGCACACCAGTTTGGGGAGGTCAATTTCGGCCAGGAGGAGGTCAGGGGCTTCCAGCCAGAGACTCAGGCGAGGCTTCTCAGGGCTGGAGAGGAACAAGGGCAGGAGTGAGGGCAGCCGCCCAGTCCCTGCCAGCGCTGCCCCTGCCCCGCCCAGCCGTGCGGCCTCGGTGTCACCCCCACCCCCGCTGGGTTCCCAGAGCCCCAGGACACTGCCCAGCGCAGGGAGACGGAGGGGGTCACGTTAGGCAGGGCACCCCAAGGCCCACCCGCCCCCGGCTCCCGGAGAGGTGGGCGTGGACAGGCTCCCCAGCTCCTCGATCCTGGGCCGCTGCCGGGCGCGGATGTTCTGCTGCGAGATGGAGCCCAGGAAAGTCCGGTTCTTCAGCAGGCGCCACTCTGTGGGCAGAACCACAGGCGAGGGTGCCCTTCGCGCCCGCCAAGTCTCAGGGACGGCCCCGCCCCCTCGCTGCGCGGCCTGACCACACCCCCAGCTTGGCTCAGGAAGCCCCGCCCCCTAGCCTTGCGCGCCAATCCGCCCCTAGAGGATGCTCCGACCCCGCCCCCCGCTCACCCGGATTCAGCCGCAGGCTGTACTTGTCCTCAAGGCCCTCCCTGGCGATGGTGACCACGAGCTCCCGTAGGAAATCGCTGTTCTAGGGCAAGAGCGGGATGAGAGAGGGTGGGCGGCGGGCCGGGGAGAGGCCCCTGCCCAGCCTCACCCCGGCCCACCCCACCTGCATCCTCCGGTAGAAGTCGCTGTTGACGGCTACGTCGTAGGCGGTGCAGCCCTGGCCTTCTGCAGGGAGAGAGGGGGTGAGACGCCCCAAGGCCCAGAGGTCTGGCCACGCCCCTCCCAGTGCCCCCCACCCCGGCCCGGCCCTGGAGACCCTCGCCCCACCTCCGGAGAGGAGCCCGAGAGACCTGCCCCCTTCACGGCTCGTCCAAGCCAGCCAGAGCCCCCCTGACCTCTCCACCTAGAACCTTCCGCCCCCCCTCTCGGATCCACAGCGCCTCCTCCAGGACGCCTTCCAGGGCCACATCCCCCTGCGTGGCAGCTGTCACCTCCGCCCCGCCCAGAGCTACAGGAGACGCCTGCGAACCGAACGCACGCGCAGGCAAGACAGCGATGGAGAAGGGCAGAGACGGCCGGCCCGGGGCTGAAGCCGGGTCGGAGGACGGGCGAAGCGGCGGGCGCCCGCGAGGCCGGGGAGCTGCCGCAGGGGAGGGGCGGCGGCCGGGGACTGGGCTCGGCCGCGGCACTAACTTGCATCGAGCTCGGCGTGAGGCTCCCCCAGGCTCATGGGGATGCGGAAGCCGGCCTGGTCCTCCTCCAGCACTCGGAGCAGCTCGTCCTCGGTCATGTCGGCCGGCGGGGGGATGGAGGCCGAGTGGCAGATGTTGATGAAGACCTTCCCGTCCGCCGGCGAGCTGGTCTTGATGCAGAAGCCTGGCGGGAGGAGCGTCCCGCCCCGTCTCTGCACCGGCCTCTGTCTGGCTCAGTCCTCCCTGGGGCTGCGCCTCCGCCCGCTCCCTCCACATCCCTCCCTCGCCCTCTCCCTTTGAGTCACTGTCCCCCTGCGCCCTCCTCCCTCTGGGCCTGCTCTCCCTCTGGTCCTCTCTCTAGGTCCCCGTCTTTCTCACCGGGCTGTGGCTGGATCTGCGTAGATTCTGGCCTTGCTGTCTGGGCTTGCTGCAGCTCCTTAGAGGCCTGTGACAGAAAACAACCTCCAGACGTGGGGTCTTCTAGGGGGGGTCCCAAAGACCCTCCCCAACCCCACTTTTTCCCCAGCCCAGCAAACTTTGAGCCGAGGAACTACAACTCCCGTGAGCCCTGTTTGCGCCCTCGTGCATTCTGGGATCTGTAGTCCCATCTGGGAGCACCAAAAAAAAAAAAAGAAAAAAGGATCCTCAAATCCCCAGGGAGCCAAGAGCCCGCACCTGCAGCAGCAGCTCCTCAAACCGCGCCGTCTCGGCACCCATCGTCTCCGCCTCGCTCAGCTCCGGCGCGAGAAGCCTCGAATCCGCCATGACCCTGGGGAAGAGACCTCTGCACCCTCGACGAGAGGCACCCTCCCCGGGATCCGAACTCCCCACAGCGTGGCGAAAACCTAAGGATCCAGCCCGAGACTGCCATCCCCCGGCTGTCGTCTAGCCCACATCTTGCGAGTAGGCGCACTCTCGGTCCCGCATGCCGGATGTGCACCTGAAAGCCGCGCTTCCGCCCTGTCACCATGGCAGCCGCGCAGTCAGCACTTCCGGCTCCCAACGCCCGCCCCTCGCCCCAACCACCAATCCCGCTCGAAGCCTGAAGACACGCCTCTCCCTCAACCAATCCAAACTAACCCTGAGAGAGCGCGCGAGCGCGAGCCAAAGGCCACACTTCCTGTATCGATACAGCCACACTCCACTCAGGGCCGCCACACCTTTGAACCTTAATCTCAACGGCAATCCTGAGAGACTCCCTCTGATCTTTGAACTGAGGCTTCGTCCCAAGTAGATGTACTTCGGACTAAAAGCTGCATTTATGTCCTATACAAACAAGGCTGCACGGCCGCGGCCACCCTTGTATATCCGAAGCCCCCTATCTGTCCTCCAGCCGCTGGCATTTCCCGCCCTCACCTGCGCCCCGCTTTACGGAGTACGCATGCTCCAACCCCTTTCCCAGCGCCGGTGGTAGGCGGGGTCACCCGGGCCTAAGGCGGGGACGGGGGCGGAGCCTGCGCCCTATTTCCCGTAGCCTCGCTCCGTTCTCGTCGGTTCCGCCCCTAAGGGCTGGAGAGGGCGGTGCTGCCCTTCCGACCTCGAGGTTCTCGGGGGCGGAGTGCCCCGCGGCCCTCCGTGCCAAGCGGTCCGGGCGGGCGATGGCCGCGACGCGCGTAGGACCCCGCGCCTGCGACATCTTCACCACCATGGAGTACGGACCTGCGCCGGAGAGCCACGCATGCGCACTGGTGAGGGCCTGGCGGGCCCGCGCGGCCCCCTCCTTCCCCGGGGTCGCGAGGCTGCGTTCGGCGCGCGCCGTCCCGTCAGCCACCGCGGCAGCGCTGCGGCTCCGCCCCTCGGGGCTCCCTCGGGGCGGGGTGGCGCCGGGCGGGAGCTGGCGGGCGCGTGCGCGGAGCGCAGGTGGACGTCTCCGCCGCAGTTCAGCCCGCGCCCAGGGTCCCTGATCCTGGACTTCCCGCGGCGGCGTCTCCCCCGGCTCCTCAGAACCGCCCGCGACGCCGCGGCGTGGCCTCAGATCCCCCGATGGCGGAGTGCCCTTGGGGCTCCCGTAACCCTCAGAGCCCCGTAGACTTCCACGGCTGCCCAGGACGTCCGGGGCTCCCTGGGGGCTCCGCGGGCTCCCCGCAGACCCTCAGGGCCGCAGAGTACTCCGGAACTTCCTGTGCGCCCCGCAGCGCTGTGCATCACCCCAGACCCGGGCGGGGGGCCATGAGTCGGAGGGCTCCCGCATGCCCCGGGCCCGGGCCGCCTGTGGGGGGCTGTGGGCGCATCGGGGTCAGGGCCTGGTGGAGCCGGCCTCGCCCTGTGCCTCCCCCTGCAAGCTGAGGAAGACCTACTGGGCCTGATACAGCAAAGGGAGTTCGTGGGGACCCCGCATGAGCCCCTGGGGTTCCCCGGGGTCCTGCCGCCTCTGTAGGCTCCTGTGACAGCACCTGCCTCCGATGTTCTGTCACGTTCTAGAAGTCCCTCGTGGGGCCCTCCTGCACCCAGGCAAGAAGAGCTAGGGCTGCTTCTGGGCCCCGGGGGAGGGGTGGCCCAGGTGAGGCCGAGGTGCTGGAGGGAGGGGGCCAGGGTGCCCCGGGGCCTGACCCTGAGCTGGGTGCGCCCAGGAAGAGCAGAGCCCAGAGTCTGGGGAGGTGGGGGAGAGTGAGGCGTGGGGCCGGCACTGGCCACGGGGACCTGCGAGTCGCCGACCGGAAGTTGCCCTGTAGGCAGGGTTGGGTCTGGGAGCAGGCGCGGCTTTGCCAGCGTGCACGGGGCTGAAGGCGGGAGGCCCTGAGAGGTCCTTAAGTGTCCCCCCTGGGTGGCTTCTGTGTGCTGAGCAGGACCGCACTGGATCCCCGGAACCCCGGAGGCTGGAGAGGGAAGTGACGCGCCCACAGGCCAGGTCGGGCTGGGACGCAGACCCCTTGTTTCTTCCCTCGACCCGCCAGCCTCAGGCCAGACCCCACCAGAGCATGCTTCCTTTGGCCTGAACTTCCTTTGAAAACGCGAATTAGTAAACAACCAGTTCCATGTAAACATGTGGGATCCCGGTGTCTCTGGAAAAAAACGAAATTTTCCAGTTTGGCAACCTCTGGCTTGAGTTTCCTGGCGAAAGTCATCTGGAAGCAATAGCGACTGTCACTGGCGATGCGACGGCGCTCCGGGCCTCTCCCCACTTACACCCTTGCCAGGGCCTGGGGACATTCTTCTGGGGGGTTGTTTTCGGGGGAGCGAGTGGTGTTTATGAGAGACTTCCGTTAACCCGTCCTGCAGCTGAAGTGGTGGTCAGCGATTGGCCCGGTGGTGGTCAGCGATTGGCCCGGTGTCGCTCCCCTCTGCTCATCTCCTTTTTTTTTTTTTTTTAATTTAACAAATCCCAGCTGTGGTGTATTTTCCCGTAAACAGTTGAGTTCTTATCTGTAACAGACAAGGACTGACTCTGTTACATAACTGCACTCGGGCACCCCCCGTGATGCCTCAGTGCCATCTCACGCCCAGCGCATGTCCGCGTGTCCCTATTTCTTTTCTTTTTTAAGAGAGACAGAAAGGTCTTCCTTTTGTGGTTGGTTCACCCTCCAATGGCCGCCGCGGCCAGTGCGCTACGGCCGGCGCACCGCGCTGATCCGATGGCAGGAGCCAGGTGCTTCTCCTGGTCTCCCATGGGGTGCAGGGCCCAAGCACTTGGGCCATCCTCCACTGCACTCCCGGGCCACAGCAGAGAGCTGGCCTGGAAGAGGGGCAACTGGGACAGAATCCGGCGCCCCGACCGGGACTAGAACCCGGTGTGCCGGCGCCGCTAGGCGGAGGATTAGCCTGTTGAGCCACAGCGCCGGCCCTGTGTCCCTATTTCTAAAATGCCTCTTTGTGCCCGGGGACATTTGCATTTGGGACTTAGGGGTGACTGTTTTCCTTTAAAGAGAACAAGACAAGGGCCAGTGGGCCAAGTCAGAGGACAAGGCAGGAACACATGGCTTCGGGGTGCCGAGACGAGAGTCTGTAGAAGGTGGAAAGTGAAGCCGGCGCCGCGGCTCACTAGGCTAATCCAAGTGAGTCTTGGATTTAGCGACAGGGAACTCGTGAGCGGTGGGAGAAAGGAAGGCGGAGCAGACACGAGGGTGATGCAGTACGTTACCAGCAAAGGAGCGGGCACGGGCGCAGTGCGCCGGCCCAGCCCATGCCCACAGCCCGGATCAGAGTCCCAGCCCCGCCCCCACCCCTGCTTCCTGCCCGTGCACACCCTGGGGTGGCTGAAGCGCTTGGGTCCTGCCCCTCCCCTTGACTGAGTCGGCTCCCAGTCCCTGGAGAGTGAACCATCAGATGGGACCAATCTCCTCCCGCTCCCTCCCTCTCTTTCTAACTCTGCCTTTCAAATCAATCTTACCGGAGAAATAGGACGGCCCTCCTGTGTTGCCGACGGGACCGTGAGCGGTGCAGGCGCTGTGGAAGGCAGCGGTCAGCCAGACAGGTCGCCGTCTGACCCAGCAAATCCACTTCTTAGCTGCAGCCCAAAGGATCTGGAAGTGCACTCAGCCAAGGCTCTGTCCGCGAGTAGTCATGGCAGCACTGCCCGGCGCGGCCCAAACACAGAAGCAACCCGAATGTCCCTCGCGTGATGCTGGATGAGCAGCCCAGCGTGTCCGTGTGGTGGCTGGTGCTCACCGTGAGGGGAAGTGGACCTGCTACCTGGGGCAGACCCGGACACCTTGACCGTAGTGTGTGACTTTATTTACAGGAACGCCCAGCATAGGCCGCGCTCTAGGGACAGAGAGCGGCGAGCGGTTGTCAGGGAGTGGGAAGAGGGGGAAGGGGCAGTGAGTGCCGAGTGGGCACAGGGCCCCCTCGGGGTGACGACCGTGTTCTAGAACCCGACGGTGCTGACGTCTGTGTGCGCGACAGTGTGCGTGTTTAACTGCCACTGGATTGTACACCTGTACACGGTGAAAGGGGCAAATTCTAGCTGATGTGATTTTACCAGGATGAGGGGAAGACAGGAGGAAGAAGAGAATTAGCTGATGGGGCAAATGGGACAGGTGTGCGTTCCCAGAGGACTCTGGGTAGGCCCTGAGCTGCCCCTCGTTCCAGACCCTTTTCCAAGTCGTCTTCCCCTCCCCCAGGCCTGGCTGGACACGCAGGACCGGCACTTGGGCCACTATGTAGATGGGAAGTGGTTAAAACCAGAACACAGGAGTTCCGTGCCCTGCCAGGATCCAGTGACAGGTATGAGGTGGCCCCGGGAGGGAAGGAGGAGCACTCGGTCCACCCCTGTGAGGGCAGGGGGCAGAGATTTCTGGGTGGTCCTGCTAACATCCTGAACGCGGTCCCGCCCCATGGAGACTCCTGAAGTCTAGCAAAATCCTTGGCCTTGCTCATGGGAAGCAGCCGGAGCCGTGCCCGTGCCTGTGCCCGGCGATAAATCCGAGACCCTGGTGGGGGCAGGGGACCAGGCTGGGCTCCCCGCATCTCAGCCCCCCCTCTTCTGACGTGGGCCCCCTCGGCTCTCTTCCCGCTCTGGGTTCCCCGCCTCCCCCCCCCCCCCAGGAGAGAACCTGGCCACCTGCCTGCTGGCACAGGCTGAGGACGTGTGTGCGGCCGTGGAGGCCGCCCGGACCTCCCTGGAGAGCTGGAGCAAACTTCCTGGAGCCGCCCGGGCCCAGCATCTGAGCAGGTGGGGAGGGAGACGGTGGGACAGCGGAGGTTCACATTCGTAGACTGGGGCTGGGAGTGACGAAGCGCTCCTTCCACAGCTATCAGAGGGTGTCCGTGTCTCAGCAGGTCCTTGCGTCCCCGGTTCCCATTTACCACTTCCATTGCAAAGAGAAGCCAAGACTCAATGCCCAGGGGTTTACCTGTGGCCAAGGCCTTTGGGGTTTGGGCCCTAACTACATTTCCCATGAGCCTTTGCTGTCTTCTGTCCCTTATAAGTAGTAGGGCTGACCCGGGGGCTCATGGGGGTTGTAGTCCAGGCCCAGGGGCCTGCTCTGGGACCTGTCACCTGGCCCAAGGGCCCTGGGAAGTGACCGTCCCCCGTACTCTGTGCAGGCTGGCCAAGATGCTCCAGAAGCACCAGCGGCTGCTGTGGACCCTGGAATCCCTGGTGACCGGGAGGGCGGTGCGCGAGGTTCGGGACGGGGATGTCTCGCTGGCCCAGCAGCTGCTGCAGTACCACGCGGTCCAGGCACACACCCAGGAGGAGGCGCTGGCAGGCTGGGAGCCCATGGGTGAGAAGCTGGAGTCCAGCGCCCGGCCCTCTCCCCCGTGTGACGGCAGAGCCCATCCCAGTCCCCCCGTTC